TTTTTTTTTTTCATTTAATATGAGAAATATAAATAAAGTGGCAACAAAATTACGAAGTCTATACAAAACAGTAATAATTATAATTATAATTGGAATATATTTAGTTTATGCTTGCAGACTATCATAAAATTGTGTTTTCGTTTTATTTATATATCTTTTTGAATGATCTAATATCAACTAACAAATTAATTAGAATTTCACGAAATGTTCAGAACAGTTTCCAATATTTGACAAGACAATTATAGATCGAATGATCATGCATTTAATAAAAAAATTATCACGTGTATAACACATGAGTCGTATATATTCTAAGCATGTAATAAGTATACTAGAGGTGATATCGCTATTATTATTGAAATTTATTCATACAATGAATTGCAGTTATGTAAATAATTTGATCTTAATACTTGTGTAAAATATCTTGTAATTTTGGATTCATTTCAATAAATAACTATATAATGACTGATAATTGAATTTCATTAGAATGAGATATAAATTGCAAACTATCTTATGTAACATAATGTATTTAATAGATAAACATGAAAAACATTGTCAGTATTTTAGAACATTTCAGTAATTAAACTCCATAAAATGGATAAAATTCAAAATCTTTTTCTGTTTTGAATATTTGAAATTTGACAAATGTATGTAGACTTCTGGGCAACTGATGTGCATTGTATAATTGATTCATTACGTTATTGACAATCTGATTGACTGATATATACATATATGGTATACATATACGTATATTATAGTGTATATTACATATACATATTATATGTAAATTGAGATTGTATTATTATAGGTAGATTTTGTACTTTGTCGGTTTTATATTAGATTATATGCCTAATACATATACAGATAATATAATATAGATTATAATGAAAAGGCTAGTGAACTCTCAACGATTTTATCCAAAATTTTAGCCCATGTAACATTAATCTTCTCGATTATATCTCGTCTATATTTCCATCGCGAACGTTTTTCGAAAGTAATCTCGATCAAATGTATGTAGAAAAAAAAAAAAAAATATTACTATTTCCTCTGAATGCATGTCCGTAAACGAAGAGCGTACGCAGTGCAGTCGCAATTTCTTCTTCTCGGTCGTGAGTTAATCCAGGAAAAAGTGAAACTTCCACGTTGGACGAGCCGTTTATTCGATGATAACAGACGTTCACGGCTCTATACTTTCCTACGTTTTCTACCAGATTCTTTTTTCAAAGGCCGTTCTCTAACGCGCTCTTTACAAATACTTTCACCGTATTTGATCGCGAGATATTTCAATTAATTTCCAAGCCTTATCTCGAAGAGCATCGGCTGAGGCCTTTATCGCTTCTGAAAGAACGAATATCGTACACGAGGTGAAACGGAGATACCATCTGACAGAAATTTTGTTGCCGGGATTCAACGAGAACATTTAGTCTAGCATCGCGTAGATTTCTTTAATACGGATCGAAAATGTATAGAACGGAGAAAATATTATATATATATTTACAATTTAATTAAAAATAATTATACAGTTATAAAATATATTGCAATATATTTTATAAATATTATAAGATATTATATAATATTATTATATTACAGATATTATAACACGAGATTCAGCTTAAAATTGTGAGAGCTCCTTAACACATATCGATGCTTGGATACTACTGAATTTACGAGCGAAGTATTTTTAATCCTGATTCATAGATCGCTAGATGCAAATTATCACAGAGGAAGAAAAAGAAGAACGAAAAATAATCGGCGTTTTTAGGAACTTTAAACGGTAATACCTTGAGTGAAATCTACGTAACATCCGGCGTTTTTCTTTCAACAATCACAGATAAATTCGAGGCACTAGAATATTGCAATGAGACTGAGAAGTAAACAAGTACTTACGAGTATGATTATCGAGGAGCAATCAAGAACATTGTCCTTGAAGTTATGCTTTTTCAGCCGTCGTGTTGCAAATACTGGACAGAGGCACATCCAGTTAGAAGATCCCTTTATAACGGTAGAACATCCGTATATAGATATATGCACTTGGCTCAGTTAGATGTTGATATATGTGAAACTGGTCCTGGTTCTGGTTGCACAGAATGTGGTTTGAAGACCGAGATTGCGTGAAGGTGGACTATTGCTTGCGAACCGAGTGATCAGGCTGGGCTTATTACTATATTTTTATTTACTAATTATTTGAGAATGATTATATTTTCTTTAATAAGTATAATTTTATAATTATAATATAATATAATTTTATAATATATAATATTATAATTATTTAATATTATATATAAAATTATATTTTATAATATATAATATAATTTTATAATATAATTTTCTTTAATAAGTAATGATTATATTTCTTCTTTAATAAGTTTCTCGAATTTATTATATTAGTTAGTTGTAGTAGCCAAGGAATAATTGAAGGTCTATTTTACAAAACTATAAATTTTATGTACATATAAATATACGATATGTGTAATGTGTGATTATTATTATTATATAAAATGGTAAATTGAATTAGAATTAATAATAATTGTATAGCAAATATATTGACTTAAAATATATACATATACACGTATAGTTTTATATTTATATAGTTTATAGTTGTATAAAATAGACCTTTTCATTATTCATATACTATACGTATCATAATCTAGTTCTAAAAAATAAAAAGTATAAACCGTAAAATTATAAATATATATAAAAAGAAACAGAAGTATAAAAGATTAGAAATACAACTATTTTAACTCACTGTTCATTAAATTCTTCGTCTTCTGTAAGTGTGCATAACCAAACACACGAAAATAAAATGTTACCTACTGCTTACTTACGTAAGCAAGTACGCAACAAAATAATAAATTGAAAACAGTTTATTAAAATTCAAATACTAAAATTACTATGTACAAATTCATATTGATAGAGAAGCAAACATGTAAATTGACACGTGTTTAAGTATACGCGTAAATCTCAAACTTTACAAGTGCCTTTGCCAATTCTACAATATAATTCTAGAAATATATTCATGAATATATCGTGATTTACATAAATAAGTAAGTAATACTGCGCGTTTTTAAGCATTATTAAAAACAATATTCAAAAACACTTCTAATTTTAATATTTACTTGCTTATTTTAAATTCAGTCGATGTGTTCGTAACACGTTCATCCCAGCGCAAATTTCTATGCTCAGTTATGGCAATAAATATTTACATTAATACTATGTCAAGGCAATAAATATGTGTAAATGTATAATTAACTTTACGCATAAAAAAAAAATAAAATAAAATGTATAATGTATAATTTCCTTTACGTATAAAAAAAAAAAAAATAAAAATCCTTTATTAATATTTCGTATTATGTGTAAATTTTAGAATTAAAAAAGCTGCGGTGATAAGAAAATAGGATAATAAAACAACCGAGACTGTTTTGTTTCTGGCTTATAGAAGATATTTAAAATTCAGTGAGCTCTTAAAGAGTGAAATATTAAAACTCGCAATTAATTAACAGACAATCGAATGAAAAAAAAAAAAAATGTCATTCGACCCAGGAACATAGGCGAAGTTGTAATGATAAACCTATGATGAATCCACGCAAGCCACGATAATATCGTGCAATTTGCATTGTAATCGCGATGTCACTGTCCCCATTCGCAACTACGTAACTACGATGAGAACTTCCATTTCGAATGAACGTACATATATAATTCTTAGTACCAACTAGAGCGGGTATAAAGTTCCACGAAATGCCTGTTGGACCGGTATTTTCGTCACCGATTGTCCTTCTATCGAACTTTTCCATCGTATTTTCATGGAACGTGGTGAACGTTCCACGTTCACCATGCTCGATTTCAAGGCTTTTTTTTATTACAAAATCCACGTTGCGAAAAAAGGAGTATATATAGATAGTGAGTTCTCAGCAAACATTGTCGCCGTTGCAAATTTATTATTAGAATATTACGATATATAATAAAGTGGAATCACTTGGAAAATGTTACACCTAGTCAGTGGATATTTATGCAAATTTATATTTTGAAAACGGGGACTTAAATAGAGCTGTTTTATCCAATAAATATTATAAATATATATGTGTGTGTGTGTGTGTGTGTTTTGAATATTCTGTGCATTTTTACATTTTTAAATTTCCTATAAGTGCATAAAAATTCATAGTTTAGTTATAACTTATTGTTAATACTTTATTTTGGATATTTCGAACATTTTTATTATTTAGAAATATTCTTAAAATTTAATTTCGATACGCGAGTCTTATTTTTCATAGATATTTTTTAAATATTTCTCAATATTTTTACGATACTAGCCAATATACTACTAAAGGTGATTATTTATTTTTAAATAAATACAAATATTTATTATAATTTTATTTTTTTTTTTTTGATATTTCTAAATGTGATCTCATTAAACACACTTTATTTTTGTTTCTTAAATATTTTCAAATATTCTCATTATTTGGATTCTAAATTAGTAAATTTTTGCGATGTTACATTTGCATGAATACATTTGTAAAAATTTAATCATTCATTCTCTATTTCTCTATTTCTTTATTAATTCTGCATTTCTTTGTTTCATACCTTCCAGCAATCGAATGTCCATTTAAAATCAATTAGATCTAGTGTAATTTACAATCTATTATACTTCATTTTCTGTCAAAGAAACTTCCGACAGCCTATTAATGTTGTTTTTCATAAAGACAAAATGAAAATTTTCTATTGGCCACGATTATTTCTAAAATTATATCTGTCGACATGTTACAAAAACATAGTTATCATTCAAGTCTTGGAATTACTTCGACGAAGATGTCCAAAGCGTTTGTTTGAGAATAAATGAGTTAATTATGCTTGAAGATTTCAAAGAGCTATTCATATTCAACCATTAAGTTGAAGAAAGAACTCGATTTGAAAAAACCATTTTAAGAGGGAAGTTTTTCAATAAGAAACTGATCGCAAGATCATGATTGATGTGATTAATGATATTTTTAATAAAGGTCGAGGCAGATAAAAGCTATGTAAAATGAATATATATTTTCGTATGATAATTCTCACGATGTATATCTATAATAGTATGATTCAATTGAAATGCGACAATTATTCTGTATATATTTCTATTCTTTTTTTTTTATTTAGGTGTTTCAGGTTGCGTAACTCAGGTTTTTAATAAAAAGAAAGAAATTATTGTTGTTTTAGAAATAACAGAGAAAGTAATTTTATTTAGCTTTCATATAATTTCTTGCTTGAGTTAATTCGATTATTCAAATAATAATCTATGACGTAGCTGATAATTTTCTAGACAAACTTGTTATTTGTTATTCATTTATTTTTATTAATTTTTGGGATTATTCTCCGTGTTATGAAACAAGTTCTTCTTGTACAAGAACAAAGTATTTTCGTTTAATAATCGTTCATGTTCTTCGAGTTTTCAATTTTCAAACTTTTATACCGAAATGTTCTTGGTCAGAACTGCGTTTAAATTATTATTAAAAAATATATAATTGAAAATTGCTAAATTGCGAAAAACAAGTTGCTACAAAGAGAATACAAGATATTTAGTTGCTTCAAACAGTAAATTCAATCGTTGTACCTAACAGGTAAAAATAATAACATTTTAGAAGCAAATAACAAGTAACGCGTATAGCATGTAATTTCAGCGCAAGAGATTAAATAAATGCAATAAACGTTACATAATCAATAGAAATGTCGTAATTATAAGTGACAAATTTTTTTTAAATAAACCTAAGTCTGTAAAATGTCAAAAATTAATCTCTTTCTGTTTTAAACGTTTGAAATAGATAATGCAATTTTTTAAATGTCACGTGTATTTTATAACGCAACTCTTCTCACAGTTTCCTTGCTCTATATATAACTATTACGTATTTAATTTAACTTTTAAGTTTAATTTCAAAGACTTAATTTTAAAGACTACTTCTCCTAAAACTTCCAACCATATCCATATCCAACGTGAAAAACGTAACTTCATCAATTTCAATATCTTCGTCGGTTCTGAGCAACAAAGTTGTTTAACGAAGTCGTTTCAAGATCATTTGAAAATCAAATTCGATGAACTTCGAGATTCTCTGTAAAAAAAATGTAATGTAAAAACTAATATAAACCTAACCTATCAAGAAACGAATTATTAGGAGATATTTTAATCTCAAAGACGAGGGAAGGTATACTAGCCTTGTCTTTCATCCACAAATTTTGTAGAATTAAACGTAAAATATCCATTGAATTAATAATTCTTGTTAAGTAATAGCAATCATATATTCAAGCTGATCAAATTACGTTCTTCATCATGTATATTCATTTAAATGAATATTTATAATTTAAATGAGATACGTGTAAGAACATGCACAATCATTTAATAAGTCTACTTTGTACTTGGCAATGAAGCAACATGAAATATCACAAGCCTCAGTTTTTCCTATTTTAAAACCCTTCATACGTGAATAATTATAATGTTCTGACCTAGATAGCATGAATCAGTTTGAAGAAATACATATGTAAACTAATGTTCTGACCTAGATAATATGAATCAGTCTGAATGAACATTTTTAATGCCAGTATTGAGCAACTTATTGGCCAGAGTAAAACGACAAGACATGGCTGTAAAATCTATGTGACCGGTAACGAAAATAGACGAGTGTAGAAAGTAAATTCACGGTGGAGAAATTCGCGTTGAAAGGATGGATCGGGCAGCATCATTGGCGGCTAACGACTTTACGACTTACTGTGTTTAAGCCAATTCTTTGTGAAACGAAATCGAGCGATCTCTTACAAGTGAGCTGAAGATCAATCGTTCTACAAATTTAACTTGGTTGAGTAAGTTAATTTCGTGCAAAAGTTAGTAGGTATATTTTTGAATATTATTCATTTATTTAGTAATTAATTACTTAAGTTATTTAATAAGTTAGTTGTTTTTAGTTAATATATTAATACCTTCGATCATTTATTTATGCATTTACTTTTTACTGTTCGTCGTTTGATTTGTTCGAACTCCAAAATTTACTTTTATTATACCATTATTGGTAATTTTAATATTAATGATTTTTCATTGTATCATTGCATGCATTGCTATATAATATATTATATATACTGTTTGTTTCATAATTTAAGTTATTAATTTTTTTATTTTTACACGTACATTATTTTATTGTACATATATTTATTATACGTTTTTATTGTACTTAATTTGCATTCTATGTATATGTCGTTAAAAGATTGAATCGATACAATTTTCTAATTGAAAGTTGAAAATAATTTTATTAAAACAAGTAGAAAAATTTCAATATCCGCTATTTCCTGGGGAAAGGAGAATGGCAAAAGAAAATCAAAAGTGAGGAAAATAATGGACGAAAATAAGAATACACGATATTCCAGCTATAAAGTTTTTCAATTCCAAGTTTTCAACTCTAAGTGATAACTTTCGGTTCATTTTTTTGACTCGAATGGAGAGGAAGGAATGTGCGAGTTTGTACTCTCGCTTTCTTCGAGACAACATTGAATATAAGCAGAATAAACATTATACAATAGTTAAACAGTCGAGTTCCGAGCATGATTACTTTGCAACGAAATATTCTTTCATTATTATGCGTTATCGTCATAAATCGACTTAACTATCAATTTGCTTTTGAATTTCACAGTTACGAATAGTAATCACGGTCTTCTCATTTGTACACTGTTAATTGAATAACAAATCAAGTACTCTTTTTTTCTTTCAAGATATTCTTTCAACTGAATAATAAATCAAGTGCTCTTCTTTTCTCTCAAGATATCTCTTTCAAGATATTCTTTTGGTAATAATTTCTTTCAAGATATTCTTTTGAAAACTTCTGAATCTCCCTATTGAAGTTAACTTGAGATACTGATTATTGCGCTTTTATAATTTTTGGGAGATTAATTACGCAAGAGTTTGTCTTATTTGTTCTTCTCGTTTTATGAAATTGTATAAAGTCTTTTGAGAATCATAATATTAGAATGAACCATTTGTCAAATTTATTTTCGTAGCCTCCATCTTTTGAATTTTCTGAAGAATTTTGAAAATTCAAAAGTATTGTGAATTTTATGTAAAAGAATGTAAAAGAGTGGAATTAACTATATCAATTAATATGAAATTCTATAATTCTTATCTTATATCAGGAATTTTGTGTTGGAAGAATTGAATAAAAAATTTTCTTTAATTCATTGTTAAATCTATCACATAATTTACTACGTACTTTTTTTTCATGTTCTATCACTTGAAATGCACGAAGAATTTTATCGATTAATATGAAGCTCTGCAATCATTGACAAATTAATTATACGCAAGATTTTTGTTTTATTCGTTCTTCTGAATTATATAAAAAATAAGGTATAAATTCTTTTGGAAATTCATAACTAGAGGTTTCGTGATATTAGAAGAATAAAATTAATCGAAATTTGGTAATAAATAAAAAGAAAAACTATTTTTCATATGAAAAATATTTTTTTCAAAACAATTTATTCATCGTGCCATTTCAATTCTGTAAAGAACTTTATGAACTATAGTGTAAAAGACTAGAATTATCAACTTTATTATGTTGTACATTGCACGACAATAAGTACGAATGTTATTTTATTTGTTTGTGTAAAAATTGCGACTTAAGTGCGAATTATAGTGGAGGATTAAGTATTCTCTTCCTTACTTCATTATGCAACGTATTCTTAAGAGTTATTTCAGAAATTACGTCTCTATCTTGAAACCTGTCAAAAATTGTATAATCAAATAGACCACTGTTTTAACTTTAAATTTCATACTACCGAGATTGTGATTTCCTATAAGTATCGTGAATTAGATAATTAATTAGCTAGTTTCTTTCTTGATCCTTCTGTTGTGTAACATTTTCTGACCGTCTTTCGGAGATCGAGAGTTCCATCACTGACGAAATTTGACATTACGTTGTGAAAGGAATACAAAATCGTACAGAAAAGAAAAAAGAAATCAGTAAACACTGTTAATGATGTCAGTTTGTTATATAAGTTAATTGTCAAAATATATTTAGAAACAGAATTTTGTGGGTCCCGTGCTAATCTTCAAAATATTGAAAAATGATATGTTTATTAATTTTGCACATCTCCTGATCTCTAGTTATTATCTCTTTACTTATAATTACACTTTTGCGTGTATAGCAACTATGTATATAAATGTTTGTCTTCCTTATGTGTTATAATTTCCGTTCAAGAGAAAGCTAAGCCACATATTATTTCTAACGGTAATAATTGTACATACACAGGTTTGCAAATAATGACCATGAACATCTAAACTTCGTGAATAAGATATTATTTTTTACTCCTCGCGTAAGGAGGAACTAAAGGAGAAACTACCCAAGAACAAAGTTTCAACTGGATTCCCATCAATTGTTAAATATAAAATCATTGTATAGAATTTTCAGAATTCCCCTACACACTTTGAGTAAGTAAACTGAGCCATTTGTCAAATGAAGTACTTCTAAATATTTTGTAATAAGAATAATGTCTTTGATCATCGCGAATTTGAAGATTGAAATCTTTCTTTTGCAACAACCTTTCAGAAGTTCATGCACGATTTTTTTTTTCGCTATTTTAACCACGAAAGGATTGCAATTGAACTTGTACCTGTTCAATGCATTTGCTACAATTACATCGTTTCTTGAAATAAATTGTGCATTATTTCATGGCCATAGAAATTTGTGACGTTTAATGAAGTTAAGCCTAATTATTGAAGGAAATTTATTTGAAATATAAAATGTTTCAAAAAATTCAGAAATAGAGCTAATTATTTTGGCTTGTGAACGGCTGATATATATTATGTATGCATTTTTTTATAGAAAAAAAATAGAAAGAATACAAAGAAAATAAAGCATCAGAAATGACAGTAGTCGTAGAAAAATTATCATGTATGCGTTTTTGTACGTATGTACTACGTAATTTGAAAATAAATTAATTCGTACGATTAATTTATCTCTCGGAAAAGTTGATCAACTGATTGTAAAAAACTTCACTATAGAATTCTAAAGATTTTTACTGAAAAGTAAAATCGTAAAAGTATACTGTAACGGATCGTTTCTTGAAACTTGGAAGCAAATATATCGACCTTGTACAAACTCATAGGATTGTGAAATTTATCTGTTACACAATAGTTATCGAATCTCTCAAAGCCAGAAATTATTTTACTGTAGCCAGAATTATCAATTATAATTTTTATCTCTGGAAAAAGCATATATATATTCATTGAAAATTCGATGGAAATTCTGAATGAATTGAAGAAGAATCGTCGCAAGACTTTCTTTGTCGAAGTGAAACTCGTGAAAATCAGCTTCTCGATTAACATAATTTAATTGACCGATCACAACATTTAATTAATGATTTCATTGGTTTGCAACTACAATTTAGTTAAGTGTATGTACAATGCGGTATACAGTATTTTATATAATATACAAACAACATATTAAACAATATGCAACATGTCTAATTATTGTTATATCATATATGTAATTATTTCACTTTCTAAAGATGACCGTTATCTCTCATGACAATTGCGTATTATTCTCCTAGATACCGTTACAAGACCATCATGTCAATTCCCTGCGCACGAAGAACGGCAAAAGGAACGTAATTGCATAATTTCCCCGTTATTCGACCCGCGTTCGTGTTATTCGCATGAAAAGTGAATTCGTTGACATTCCAGCGGTAACAAGCCAAACTTCCGGTTCACTTACCTCGCCGCGGACGATCCTTCGATTCTCGAAAGTAAAACGTAAACAATGGAATATCCTCTTCACGGACGTCAATGTCTACTACGAGTTGATCAATTCCTTCGACAATTACGAGAACTTCGGACTTCGGAATAATTGTCCCTCGAGAACGTCCCAGCCACTCTGATTCGACGATGTAAACGCGATCGACGAGTTAGTTACGTTTGTTACTCGACGGAACAAATTTAACAAAAATATATGTGATAAACGAATATTATTTTTGATTTCTTGCTTATTCGTCGAATCGTTTCTCGCGGTGTGCGCAACTTTCTCGAGTTTCTTCACACTCGACACTTTTCCCTTTGCTCCACAAATTTAATCTTTTCCCGCGAGTAACGCAGGCAATACTGAGCACATAACGAAACTACGGCGAAATATATAT